ACCGCCTTCCAATACGGATTAAGTTCTCAAGTCAAGACCCCACTGTATAGGAGATTCACTATTAGAATCCTATATCATTGTGCTAAAATTGATGGGAGGGCTAAGCAAATCTGGACCTCATGCTAGAAGAGAAGGGTTAACCTTTCCCTGCAATTCCAGATTTAAAAACAAAAACAAAAACCTGTGCTCGTGTCCTACGGGAGAAAACTTACAGATATCATATAGACATATGTAAGCTTTTCTTCATAAAGCAATGAGAGCTCTGGGAAGATTTTAGTTTGCAAACAACACAGGGAATTTGCACCAATGAGACTTAATATAAGATGGGTGGTTGATATTACAGTTTGGTTGGCCCGTTCCCTGGCCTTTCCATCCACGCTGAGCCCATGTGGCCAGACTCCAACATTACAAACTCTGATGCCTTCACACCAGCACCAAGGTACGACTGCCTGTCACTTCTACTTCTGTAACCTAAGAAATTGTTGTGCTTTCACCCTTCCAGCGTTCTATTCTGAGTGCCAGACACAATGGGAAGATGATTCTGTGCAGGTTTACAGGCACACACATAAAGAAAAGCTCATCATGATTGGATCGAAACACGTGAGAGATCTAGGTTCTGGGGAGGTCTCCTAATAGGAACTGAAAAATCCAGAACAATTGCCATCTTCCCTGAAAGGTTTCAGGGCCCACTGCACTTTTTGTCCCTCACTTACACTATCATGAGTTGCATATAATTCTTGTTAGATGTCAGAATTTTGTCCTCACGTATCAATAAACTAATTATTTCATAAGAGAGTCCCTGATATTGTTGTAAGCTGTGTGGATTAGGGTTCTTCTAGCTGAAGAAGGCAATTTGTGAAGATTTGGGCTTACTTTAATCCTTGGTCAGCAATCTTGTAAAAAAATTTTTTTGTTTTTTACTTACTCTTCCTAAAGACAGAAATCAAAGGACTGAGAGCCCCTCACAATCAAGTGAAACAAAGGAGTCACACTGACAGACAAGTGGGTAGGCTGCCTTTCTACTCACTTCAAGGCCCGGTTGGGTTTATCTGGAAGGATAGCCGTGAAGTCGCTACAAGAGTCAGATTTGTGAGATAGGCAGCCCAGGCGGGTCCTCATCCCTCTGTTTCTGCAGTCAGTCATACAAGGTTGGGGAGCAAATGGGAGAGAAGGAGAAGGGAGAGCAGTTAGCAAAACTTCCTAAGAATGTAAGAGTCCTGCAGGATCAAACCCTAAGTGGCTTCTTGCTCAGAACTTAGAAACACCATTTTTATTTTTATTTTTGGATTTTAACTCCCAGAATCACCCACTTAATGCTGATGGAGTAGTAGTCTCAAAAACAACTTTTCCACATTCTGACCTCTTGGACATACAGAAGCTGACTGCATCCAGGAAGCAAAGATGGAAAGCAACTATGCTTCCCTACCTTCTAATATTTGCTCAGCAACCAATATTTAAAACTACTGTATACTGATTCCACACAGAAGGACCACCATTTTAAAGGCACTGGTTCATCTTGGGGTGGCAAAGGCTTTTGGCATGGCATGAAAAAGGATTTTCCTTCTATCTGTCCTGAATGCACTGGCATTCCATTTCACTGGCCCTCCCCACCAGACTCCCCTGCACGTCCTTTTGTTATAAGAGAAAGAGAAAACAAACAAGCCACCTCTCTTGTTCGTTCATTTGTTGATTCATTCCCCCACTAGTTGTATTCATAGCACTCTCTGCAAAGTCATTCTCTGTCCCTCACTGAGATGCAGAGGTGACCTGGGGCTCTCTTAGAGGCCAGCTACACTGGAGTTTATCCTGCTTTGTAGCTCCCTGCTGGAAATGTCCAGACTGCTCTAAACTATACAACATTCTTGATAGAGCATTCCAACCTGTCCCTAATAGGGACCAATTCATTCCATTCATCGGTCTAGTGTTGGAACCTGCTGGAGTTTTTGTTTTGTTTTTTGGAACAATTAGAATGGGGGCAAATAAACATGGCCTAGATCACTCCAGTGTCGTGTTGGGTGTGTGTGTGTTTGTGTTCTTCCTATATATCAGTTGTGATGTGTAGAGATGGCTGTGGTCTGGCTGTGACCACAGATGGCATCCTCTATCCTATTTTGAAGTGGGGAAATGCATTTTTGTTCTAATTTTATTTGTTTATGTTTTAAAAAATATTTCCAACTATTTTAGTGCACCACTTAAGTGCTATAAAGTATAGTGCTGAAGATGATACTCTGGCTGTGCCTTCACCTTTGCACACATTTATTGCCTACCAGTTTTGCAAAGCTGTCAATCACATCTGTCAATGAAGACTACGTAACACAATAGTACAGTAGGCAGTAATATATGTCTATTTTAAAGATGGAAATGAATTTCAGAAATGAAGAGAGCCAAAGGGTCATTTAGCATTGTTCAGTGATGAAACAATGCAGCGCTATGCCACTTGCCAAACAATATTGTTTTAAAAAGGAGAAAAACAGGGCTGAAACACGGCACTCTAAATCCCGCCCCCTTTGTGTGGATTAAAAACCCAGCATTAATGCTCATGTACAAGAAAACAGAAGCAGGCTGTTTCCCTGACAGCTGTTGCAAAAAAGAAGGCTGGATGTGGAAAGCAAACAGGAGAGGGACACATTGTGACCCAACAGACCAAAATGGAGCAATCTAACACCAACATATGGTTGACTAGATCACAGCTACAGTGGGTGTGGGAGCGATTTCCATGTGAACAGAAAGAGCGATCTAATCAAGCCCCACCATTCCAAAATGTTCCAAAGCAACCCAGATGAGACTGCTCCCTGTCACTAATGTAGCCATACCCAAAGGTTATGCCAGAAGAATTCAAATGGTGACACATTCTAACAAGCTGGTAGGTTTTGAATGCAACTCCAACAGCAAATTGTGTGCCTGCCCGGCTAAATATAGAGAAACTCTTCACCAGTAGCTTGGCCATAAACTGATAAAATTGACTAGACTACAGCAACTATGAATACAACAGCATTGTGGGATACTTGCAATATGCATTGGTGGAGTGCCCAACTGATTTCCCATGGCCAATTCTAAAAGGGCATTCCCTTTTTAAATTATTTAGTTTATAATTATTGCATTTTTATTCCCAGTGAGAGAGAATTTATGCTTCAGGTGCCAAAATAACATACGGCTCTTCCAAATTGAGCATCTGAATCTCAACAGGTTCCTCACTAAGCATTGACTGTAACAGAAACTACTGAAACTTCCAGGCAACACCCTTGTTACCTCACTATGTGCAGGTTTTCCCCCATGCATTCTCACAATTTCTTGTCCCCCCCCCAATATCTTTGATTTATGTTGTGTTGCTTAGTATCAGGGGCACAGTTTAGAATCATGGTAGCTCCCATCTCAGTCTGAAGCTTGACTTCCCCCACTTCAGCATTAAACCAGCTTCCAAAATGGAGGGAGAGTTCAACACAATGATTTTCTCCCCCCGATGTGTGATTGTTAGTACTTACAAAAATAGGGGAGATGGAAGAAAGTAGCAGGTGCTGGGCTGCAGAGGAGAGGAGTGCTGGAAGGAAGTCCAGATTTCACAGCCAGCAGACATGAAACAGTGGGAGACTCTGCAGAAGAGAACTCTCTGCTGCTAGGCAGCTTCTCCCCTGCCATCTTCACCTGTGCTGACCTATGCCATCCATATCTCTCCCTTCCGGGTGGGTCAGGAACTGGGCATACCTGTCACTTCCCCTCCCAAACTGCAGTAATGAGGACACAGCCCAGGTAGTTCCTGTGATCTTATCATAGTTTTTCAACAACAACAAAGAATACAATTCGAGTTGGAGTAATGAGCTCCATCTGGAAGACCCCTTGGTTGCCTATATGATGACTTGCTCGGAATGGTGGTGGTTGTTTTGTTTTTGTTTTGGTGCACCTCAAGCAGGAAAATATCTTGGGCCAACGTGGCCCAGCTGTACGGCCTCAAAGAAGGAAAAAGTCTGCAGCAACAAGGAAAATAGGAGAGGGGTACAATAATTGTTGCACATCAGTGGCCCAGACACCTTATGTACCCCTTAGAGAGTTCTCTTGTTTGATTGTTTTCAAATTAGCCTAGTGGCGCTGAAAGCATAATGTGCCCCAGGCCAACCTTGCCAATGTCATGAGGATTTGAAGAGTTCTTTCCTTTTCAAACATGAAAACTGTTTTTTTTGGGGGGGGGCTTCTTATCAATCTAGGTTTGTTGCCAGATGCTGAATTCCACCTTGAAATCTGTGAATTCAGATCTGCAGAAGGTGAGCACTCTTGCCGAACGAAGGTGTGTCGATGGGAGTCTTATAGAAATCAAGAGGTTTATGTAATCTTACATCATGCCTTAAAAACAAGGTCAGGAAAGATTCATATTGAAAGCATGTCTTTCCTTAATCCTCGTGACTGCAGAGAAAAGCTTGCAAGAGTCTGCTTCATTCTCACACTCAACCCCGAAAAAACAGACAGCTCATTTATATTTTTAATCAATTAGCACTAATTCATGGTTTTCTCACTTCCCATGATTTGAAGGTGATTTTGTTATGTTTTGGAAGGTCATCCTTTGGGCAGATGGAGCTAGGAAAGAGCCCCTGCAGACAAAATCAATTTCTCATTTGCTCCTGCCTAAACTGTGAAGAAAATTGCCTTGTCTTCCTTGAAAAACATTTTTCTGCCGACACTGTCCAAGCCCTCTGCACCAGACCACTGATCTAGCTGGTATGAGCACCACACTAATCACATCAGTTAGTGTTTAAAGTAACTTGGAAACCTAGATGTGCTTTGCAAAAGGGAGTGGAAAATCATTTTCAAAAACATATGTTGAAAGCAAAATAATGAATATTTTCTTCCCTTTGTAAAGAAGTAAAACCAAATCTGCAGCATGACATGCATAACTTTTTACTCAGAAGATTCCACTGAGTTTAATGTGACTTAACGCCCTAAGGGAGGGGAGTGCAAGATTACAGTCTCCTATTCTTTTTTTAATTACAGGCCCTTTGAAAATGCTTTTGTTGTGTTTGAAATCTATACCATGTACTATCAAGTGACCATTTCATTGATTATGTGTAGAGGAAAGCTCTTAGTTACTACGAGGAGCAAAACTGCTTGCACACACATTTATTAGAGAGGTACTTGTCAATTTCCCTACACGGAGGTGAGATCTGTTTCTTACATAGCCTGGAAAACAGTCCATCCTTCAGCAATGGGTAGCTTCAGCATGTCACTGTATTCATTTTAACTGAAAAATCACTTTCCAAGATCTGACTGATTATGTCAAAATGAGCATGCACAGGAATAGCCTGACACTGCCCACCTTACCTTACCATGCTTGGCTGCTTTCACCCTTTCCACCTTTCCATCCTGTCCCAAGACTAGGAAGTGAACCAGGCTGGGGGGGGGGGACTTGTGAAAATATCTGCATGTAAAGCAGAGCAGTCTTCCTTCACCCTCTCTGCTGTCATTTTAACATGAAACATAGACCCACCTCAGGGTTAGGAAAAGTCACCTTTTTGGGACTACAGGGGCACTACCTGAATTATTCTGGGAATCACAATCGCAAAAGGGAACTACTCTCACATTTGCCCCAGTCTCACCTCTGCTGCATTGCGTATTCTTTGCCCATTTGGCTACAAACACACACGTTTAGTTTGGTCCAAAGTGTACATTCAAGAGGGAGCTGTAACCAGTCACCGCTTGTTGTCAAGTGCACCTGAAGCTTTGCCTATAATTGAGTTTGAATGTGCCTAGGGATGTTCTGTGTATTGTACTACGTATTTCAGTTTAAGGATTACTTCCTTTTTTATTATGGCTTTTATTGTTGCTCCTGTTGTTTTTGTGTGTTTTGTTATACGTTGCCTTGGAAAGGTTTAGCTTGAAGGCAGCTGATGAATCTTTAAAATAAATAAGCCAGTCTCTGTATTGTACATGTGCCCTGCTGCATGCACAGTAGGGCCGTCTGTTTGGAAATGAGAGTTCAGTCCAGTTTTCATTTTAACAGTCATGACCGAACCAAAAGCAGGAGATAACAGGAGAGCAGGCTATACCGTTGTTCTCTACTTGCCTTCCCAGATTCCTGTCTTTTACATTACAACAAGCATTGCAATAAGGAGCCCCGTGGTGCAGTGGTTAAATTGCAGTACTGCAGCTAAAAACTCTGCTCACAACCCAGGATTCAATCCCACCTCGAGGTTTACTCAGCCTTCCAACCTTCCAAGGTTGGTAAATGGAATGCCCAGCTTCCCAGGGGCGGCGGCGGGGGCAATGTAATTACATTGTAAGCCATCCAGAGAGTGCTTTAAGTGCTATGGGGCAGTATATAAGCAGCATGCTTTGCTTTTTGCTTTTGCATTTGATACATCCAATTTTTTGAGCGAGGACAGACTTCAGCTGGCAGTGCACTTCTCCATCTCCTTTCACTCCACCTGCATCCCTCCTCTCACCGCAAGGCAAGGAAAGCAGCATGGCAAGCAAGCTGCCTTTTCAGCAAGTAGATCATTTCCCCATTTTGTCCTTATGCTCTCCTTGCTCCCGTGTTGCTTTCAAGACCACTAAAATCCTATCCTGTTGATGCTCAAGGTCCACAATATGTGATAGTTTCAGGTCACTCTCTTTAAACTCTACCTTGGGCCTCCAAGGACTGTTCCTCTTCATTCCACAGTGAAACAGCTCGCAAGAGGGTTTCATCACTGCACAGTTAAATATAAAATGACATTTCTCAATGCCATATGGGAAGCCTTTGCAGAAAGCTTTGGCACTGTCTCAGAGATAATTTCACTGTGCCCACTTCTCCCTTCTGTTATTATCACTCTTGGAGAATTTCTATTTATTGAATATTTTACAATATAATTTTAGAGCAAATCTAAATGTTAGCCGAATCCAGTGTTCCTCTCCTTGGCACCATGCTCTGTAGCATTTAGCTCTTGCAAAATAAAAATGATAACAAAATAAAATTTAAAAGGGGGAGGGGAGGAAGGCTTTGCAATGATCTCCAGCACTCCAAAGGGCAACAAGTACCTATATTTTACCAGATGTGCACAAGCCATTTCTAGTAGCTGATGAGACAAATGAGGGTTTATCATTAACCGATCCCATGCCCCACTGAAAAATTTCAAAGTGGGAATGAAAAATAATCAGCTTCTCTACCACATTGTTTTCAAGGCTTATTCATGAATGTATAGTTTACTAACCATCTGTCTTTTACCGTATTATATTTAATTACATATGCATATTGCCAGCATATCAACATGAACATTCTTTCTCGTGATACTGGAAAGACAATCCAGTTTGTAAGATGATTTGCAATCTAATTAAACAAAATCCACCCATGCTTGATTTAAAAAATGAGATACTATTTTCACTGAATTCCTGAGTACTGTCTTTTGTGAGAATCAAAACATTTTCAGAAAAGAAAGCAGCAGACCCTTAACTCAGAGCAGCGCCAATTAAAACCTGTCTTCACCAATGAAAACTGCCTTCCCTGTTAGTCAGACTCTTTAGTGGATTACACTGCTAATTAACTGATTAAAGTATAGAGTCCTTGTGTTTTCTGCACACACCACAAGTCTATGCTGTCCTTTTCTTGCTGACTCACAGCATGTTGCAAAACAGCACAAACTTTTAGCAGAATGTTAAGACAGCGTAAAAATATCGGAAACCAATTCCTAAGGGATTTTGCTAACCAAATAAGCAGGCAAATTCAATACTGTTACCAGTTAAATGCAACCTGTCTATTTGGAAGGAAAACCACTATGGCATTAGCTGATTATTCACTCACTCGTTTTACATTTATATTCTGTCTTTTCTCCATTGTGCAACAAGGACCTCGGTGCCACACAACCGCTCTGTGTGAGACAGGTTAGAATGAAAGATAGTGAATGGACCCAAATCCCTGAAGAATTTTAAAAACCAATATTGAGCCAGGATTTGAACCTGAGCTTCCCTTTTCCTCGCCCAAAATACTAATGGTTGGAGTCTAAGCATGGTGCAACTTTTATGAAGAACTGACACACTCTACGCTATCAAAGATATGCCCCTTGAGAATCAAGGGCAAAATTCCACCAAGGCCCATTTGTTGGTGAAAGCACATTGAGTACAAAATATACCATGTTCTTGCTACAGAAGAAAAGGCTAGAAACTCTGTCACAGATAAACTCAAAACCTGGAGTTTGTTATGTACAGCATTGTTGGATATTCTTCATGCTTTCTACACATTGTCTAGCCAGCACCCCTGTTGACAGCAAAGCTGGGGGAGGGGGAGAGAGAAACTTTCAGATCTCTTAGTTCAGGCACTGAACAGGAATGGCCACAATGCCCCTTTCCATTCCCCTGGTGTCTGTGAGGAAGGGACTGAAGGAAGGAATGGCAAAGCACAGAAGTCAGAAGGACTGTGACAAAACAGAACAGCTCTGGGACCTCCTCGTAGGTGGAACATAGTTGGCAATCCCTCAACTGAGAAGGAGGACCAAAAGGAAACATATAGAGAACAGAATGTTGCACAAGAAAAGAAAATTTTACAGTGAGCTTAACATGACTGAGACCAAAATCATGTTATTTGAAATAAAACTGCCTATAGTTTCAGAAGGATAAAATGGCAGAATTCTGAAGTGGTAAAAATGGGGCTAGGCTGATTACTGTTCAGAAGTTATCTGCATGTACCTAAACACTTCAGGAGGGAAGGTTAAGCATGGATGTGCTGTGCTTATAAAAATGCAGTTCTCCTATCCAGGGCACCAGTATGAAATGACATACTGCCATAGTTTATATTATCATCATCATCTGCTGCTGCTGCATGTGCTGATATAATGGCCCACCTCCCACTGAAATCAACAGGGCCCGTGCCCAAATTACTACACCAAGGTCAGCAACCTCACAATTTTCTCAGTCAAAAACCAAGATGAAGGAGGGCAGGGATCATATCTGAGGGATCATGTCTTCTTTTCTAACAGTTACCTGTTAAGCATCAGTAATGTTGCCATGCAGGCATCCCAGTTAGTTAATGACTCCACTGACTGCCTTGTAATGGTGGCCAACAGTGCAGCTTTCAAAGAGTCAAGACTTCAGGGAAGAAAAAGCAGCAATTTTGTGTTCTGTAAAGAATCCCTTGCAGAAGCCGGTATTTGTCCTCAGCCCAGTTAGTTCTTTTGCCTCCTGGAAGTGACAGCTGAATGTCCTTGCGTGTTCCTCGGGATGTAGAATTGGTCCTAGCAGCAAACACAGTTGTTGTCTTTTCCCCTGGCACTGAGGCTAAAATCCAGCTTTCAGCTTGTCAATGGAAGAACCATGGAAGATTGCAGTAGCACCGTGTCATTTGGCAAAAGAAAATGTCTCAGCTCAGGACTGAGCTGGTTGGGGAGAATGAACTACCCTGGTGCCCCTGTCCTCCTTTCATGTCAAGGCTCAGGTTCCTGGACAGATGCCATGGAAAAGCGGGCACTGAAAGTGGTCTGTAAACGAAATAACAGGAGGGCTTCATATAGCTGTAAATGGATGTTTTACATTTGAACAGGTCCTCACTCAATCTCACACACACACACACACACACACACACACACACACACACACACACACACACACACACACACACACACACACACACTCTTTGGAGCTTTGGTGTGGTTGTTATTATCTGGCATGCTGTGAAGTGGGTATCCTCCTCTCAAGCCATAGTTTGTTAACCAGTTATAAAAACCACATTCTGGACCCATGGTTTTTGTTACTAGCCTGCCAACTTTATCTTGTTTAAACCCTGGTTTGTCATAACATCAAAATCTACAGCAGTTGTTTATGTCTTATAACATTTGCAGGAAATAATCAGCATGCAAGATCGGGTACTTAGGAAGCTATCTTATAATGAGTCAGACCTTTGTTCTGTCTCATCCAGTACTGTGAACTCTGGTTGGCAGCAGCTGTCCAGGTTATACGGCAGAACTCTATCCTTGCTTGTTTCTGGGGAGCATCCCATCCAACTTCTAACCTGCCCCCATCTTGCTTATCTTGCAAAATGAAATGAGATCAGTGCTGGGATGTTGACAATATTACAAGAACATGTATTCAAAGCACTTGCAACATATTTGTGCATTGAATATTATTACAATTATCAACTGACATATTTTCCATGAAAACATATGCTGCCATTATTATTTTAAAATGCATTATATGAAAAACTGCTGGGCCTCTTCTCTACCTCCATGCGCAAAGTTAAAATGGAGACTATTAGAAAGGAGTGAGACAAGCTTAGGTGTGTTTAGCCATCTATGGTGACCTATATGACCATCTCCCATTGCTGTCTCCCCTGACCAGCTTCCTCTGCTGTTTTGAGGCTTCCTTTTCTCCCAGCTGAAATTTTTAAAAAACGAAACAAATACAGAACATTCTAACCTGTGGATGGAGAAGGAATGCTGGTGGTGTTGTGGCATTTACAGAAGAGTGGATGGTATTTCAGCTCCCTCCCTCTAGGCCGTGTTACACCAAAGCTGAGCTCATGTCAGCTCTCTGAGCGTCATTGGGTGAAAATGGACTAAAAAAAGGTTGTGCACCATCTGCGGGAGAGACCGGCATGAGAAGAGCCTATATACTGACTTGCTGCCCCATTTCTCCTGGTCTGAAGATGCTTTTCTTCCTTTCCACTTACCACGACAACATGCTCCTCTTGTAAATTTCTATCCAAAGAGGATGTGCTTGGAAGTTTGCCATTCGGACCTTAACTGACCTTTTAACTACTGTAGTAGGTTAGGAGTCATATTAAGTGAATGGCAGCATTACACCCTTTTACAAGGCAAGAGGTGCATTTGAGTGAAGGATTTTGAGGTGGAGCAACCCCAGCTAGAGGCACAGAACACAGCTTCCCAGCACTTTTAACAAGAGCTCCTTCAACGGGTTAAAAGCCTCCATTTGTTGTAGCACAAACTGTTCTCACCTCGTTTTGCAAGTAAGATTTCTTAGTTTTGTGATTGGTCACTGGGAGAGAAACATACACTTTTTTTGCAAGTCCGATTGTTCATACGTAGAGCTCTGAGGAATCTGATCGCTGAAGGACTAATGTGCTTTCCACTTCTAATAATGAGCTGATCAAACTGATAGTAGTAGTGTAAGGTGAGATAAAGGCCAAGAGAAAGTTGCCAGCTGAAACCTGACCTCTGCACTAAACCTCTACTTGGTTGGCCTCTATTTCTGCATCTGAATACAAATGTAAAGATTCTGGCCCACTTTACAGGGTTGGAGTATCGAAGATTATTCTAAATGGATGTGAAGTGTTTTGAATCCTTGAAATGTGTTGCTAAAGGTTATTGCTAGTGGGGACATGGAGAAGAAATGGAATGGAACAGATTGTAATGGAAGGAGTTATTATATTCAACACGACACAGGTAGAATTAGTTTCATAATGCCCATTCCTCCTTGCTTTACTGGGAAGATAAGGGATAGGGAAGACCCCCCCAAAAAAAGTTGTCAGTGCAGAAGTGGAAAGATAGCACTGAAGGCCTGAACAATTCCATAGAAATCTACCAGTGATCAATCCCAATATCTGTTTAAAATCTGATTTTCTGAAAAGAGGCAGGGGGGTGGGAGAGAGAGGAGAGGGAGAGAGAGAGAGACTCATCTCTTCTAACTAATGAAGCAGGGATTGCATTACGTACTGGCAAGTGCATTTCTTTTAATCCCCATCCCAACCGGCTGCCTTGTGCAGTATTTCAGTTGAAATCAATCCCTGTAATTCCTTAAGCCCCTTTGAATTTCCTCATTAACACAACATCGTGCCCATGTGGGGCTTGAGCACATGACGCTCTGCCACTGGATCCCACTGGCCAGCATGTTCAATGAGCAGACCTGAGGTCCCCTCATCCTCACGGCCCCGTCTCCAGGCATGCTGCTGCTCCAGCTTCTCTGCCTGGCTAAAAAAGAATGTGACCTTTCCTGTCATGCTGGTTCTGGAGCAGTGCAAGAGGGCTGCTCTCAGGCTGAGTGGCCGGAGGGGTGGGGTGGGGAACAATAAATCAGCTGTGCTCCCTGCAAGCAGCAGGTTGCAAGCACTTCAAAGTTGGGCTTAGAGGTCATCTGGCCTCATTCTGAGGGCACCAGATCTTCCACTGACCAGCTTCCTTCCTTGATAGCCCATCTGCACTATCCTTCCTTTCTCTGCCAGAGTACCTCTTGCCCATTTGGGCAGAAGTGACCATATCTAGTCTTGTGCCCTTCCCACCCCCTCCTGGATTCCAAAAGGAGAGTTTGCTTATTTGTGATTTCACAGTAAGCATAAGGACAAGCCAAGGCCCTTGTGAATTCTCCCTTTGCTTCATCTGCCTCATCCTACCATTGCTCTCAGTACAACAGGGAGGGTAAAAAGGGGCTTTTGTGCAAGAGAAGTCTTTAACGTCTTGCAGGCAAATGCCAAGGTGGCCCCACATCCCTACTGCAGTTATTTTCCTCTACGAAAGGTTCTGATTCCCCTTTTATGATCAGCAGAACAGGTACAAGGAGCATTCTTTCTGCATGCTTAGACAAAGATTTTGAGGAAAGGAGAGGGTTTGCTCATGTTATGGCACGTAACTGGAAAGCAAGGTGTTATTGAACAAGCAGCAATTGCATCTTTTTTAATTATTTGGATGATGTTATGATTTTATTCCATGGGGAAAACAACAAGCAAAGATAAAATGGAAATGAGCAGAAATTATCACCATTATTATTTGTTTTAAAGGGGAAGCGCAAGGAAAGTAAGAATGCTTAGTAAATGCAGACACACAGAGACAACAGAGCCATTAAATATGGTTCTGCATCTCAGACAAACAAATCTACCAACAAACAAGAAGAGACAGACAGACAGGCAGAGAGACAGATCAGGAGAAGATACTCACTGCCGTTGACCTGTCCTCGTGCTCTGGAGGTCCTTGCCAACGGTGCGATCAGAGAGGCTCTATGGAGAGAACAGAGCAATCTCTTAAGGGAGGGGAAATAAGCCACACAGAGAGAGACACACCTCCCTAGCTGTCTCGTCTCTCCCCCCCCCCACAATATGTCCCCAAGCTAGAGCTCAGCTGAAAGCTCTCATCTCTTCTGCAGATCACATCCAGTAAACACAAATCAGGCTAAACCCAGCAAGCTTGACGTTTGGCTAGCACTGCAGAGAGCCAGATCACATGCTGCTTTTCCCTAGGTGGGATTTCGGACGTGCCCACCTGATCAGAAAATTTGGAAGCATCCTCCTTCATCCTCTTCCTCCTTGCTAAGAGGGTGGCAAAATCCCCTTCACGTACAAATTGAAGTAATGCCCTACAGGGTGTACAGGAAATGTCTGAGGAAATGTTAGCAGGGATAAGAATTCAATTAGGAGCCCCCACTTCTCTGTAAACACTCTGTGTGGTTTCTATCCCAGGAGTTAGAGCGAAGTATCAAACCACATTATTCTGAGCAAAGTCCTTAGGAGAGGATGCTGAAATCCAAAGAGATTTCTCAGCAAGCGACCACTGAAGTGGCTAATGGGGAGGAAAACATCAGAAAGTTTAATTGAAGAGCAGTGGCAATGCCAGCAAAGTCATCTCTTAAATGGCAAGAATGGTTTCTTATTGGGTGTAACTGTGTAATAAATGCATAACTGATTTCTTTTAAATGTAGAAAGAATCAACTAAATAGAGATGTGCCAATTTCTCCCCCATCAACTCATCTGACATTAGCATTGTCTCACATTTTCTTATCCTTCCTCTCACCTGACTGCTACTGTCAGTGAAAATTTCCTGTTAGCTCCCGAACACCGCTTTGCTCTTCCTTTCTTTTAATTCTTGAGCCTGCAGGATCTTTAGGGACCATCAGCACATCATCTTATCCTTTGCAACAAAGAATCTTCCTTAGTCCATTTTGCTAAGGGAATTGCTTCCTGAGATAGGGCTTCCATGGCAGGGCTGGCAAAGCCAGGCAGCTGCCTTGGGCAACAGGAGGCTGGGGGCAATGGGCTGTCTCATTCCTGCTGCCACTGCTACCCTTTCACCATGACTGCTTCCCTCCCTCCCTTTCCAGACCTTCTTTCATATCTCTCCTTGCCACATCATCTATCCCTACCCCTCCCTCCCTCCCTCCCTCCTTCCCTCACAGAGCTCTTCCTCTTCTGCCTCACTGCCACTGTTAAGTGACACAGCAGAACTGCAGGGTGTTGGGCTTTGGACCTTCCATAAACGTCCATTAACGAGGCAGTGTGATGGCATCATAAAAACTTCATCTGGAAGCATCTCTGGGGTGCAAGGCCATCCTAGTAATGCCATTTCAGCTTGATATGAAGTGCTGAGCCCGAGGAGTGACCATGCTTACAACCAGACCTCCGGTAGCTGCTCTTTACCACAGCCAGATTTAGGGTGGGATGAGGTGACTACTTTTTCCTGGGCACAAACCTGCAAGGGGCACAGGGGCAAGCCTTAAAGGCCAGTGTTTATTGCCTGTATTGTCTACAGTGAGATAACAATAATAATCATGTGCTGTCAAGTCAATTCTGACTTATGGCACCCTTTTCCAGGGTTTTCCAGGTACAGAATACTCAGAAGTGGTTTAACCTTCCCTTCTTCTGGGGACACCCTGGGACTGTGCAACTTGCCCAAGGCCACACAGGCTGGCTCTTCTCCATGGAGGCACAGTAGGGAATCCAACTCCCTATCTCTCAGTTCAGTTCAAGTTTATTGTATTAGCTAAAAGCCGTCACAATTGTTTAAATTGTGGTTCCACAGCCAGATAGATATCTAAGCCACTGAGCTATCCAGCCAGCTAAAGAGGAGGAGGAGGAGGAGGAAAAGGAAAGGAAAAGAAATTTGTCCCAAACTAAATTTCCTACAATTACTGAGCTATCCAGCCAGCTAAAGAGGAGGACGAGGAGGAAAAGAAAAGGAAAAGAAACTTGTCCAAAACTAAATTTCCTACAATTGTTTGTTTAAAGTGTGCTCCATTTTCATTTATCAGATTTCATATATTCTAGATCAAAATCAGCAGAATGTGACTTGTTTTCAGTAGGATTTCTGGTCCTACACAAGGACCAACAAATGTTTCAATCTTGCACAAGCCACACAAATTGATAAGCCTGGCAGGCCGTTGATGGTGCTGTTTGCCTATGTCTCTTTTCAGCCCATGGCCACCCTTGCTTCCTAGGCAAGGCCCCTGTGATTACTTGCTTGGGCACAGACGAGGAGCCCGTGGCCTTGTAGATATTTTTGGAGTATGGATCTCCTGATTCCCCCATCACTGGCACTGTTACTAGGAATGGACAGAGCTGAAGTCTAATGATATCTGGAGGCCCACTGGTTTTCCACCTAATACAGTATTATAACCAGAGGTGGAGTCACGTTCTTGAACTGAGTCCAGGGAGGGGATGCAATAAGCAGAAAGCATTCAAGCAGGCGAAGGCAGAAAGTCATGTTTCCTCTGTCTGCACCTCACCACTACCCAGGACTTGAAGCAGGCATTTCGTGGCCCTTCCTGTTCAGGTCGGAGGGTAAAGGAACATAAGAAGTTTCAAAATGTTTCCACTCCCATGCAGATGGGGGACACATATAGCTCAGTTATACAGTAAATGCTTCCAACAGTTCAAGCCTGGATAATACTCCAGTCCAGTGGCTTCATTCTGCATGGAATCACAAGGATCAGTTTTGCATAACATGATTCCCTTCTGTATTTTGCCTGCCTGAAGAGGACTTTGGTGCCTGGGTGCCCAAAGGCCTGTAGAGACTCTGGATAATACTTAAAATCTTATCTAGATCTCCAGACTTTCTGTAGCACAAGGACTTTGCAAGGCAGAATCCTAGAAGCTCCACTGGCAGAGCGCCCTGTGATTGTACCAGTGATCTTCAGCTTGAAGTTACACAAGGCAGAGATTGTCCCATTGGAAATGAACCCCCAGTGAGGATAAACCTGATACCCCAGAACCAAGCAAAGAGGAACTGTGTGGTCCCCACAGACCCTGAACCCTTTGAGAGGTAGGAGCCCAAACTTGTGAATGATAAGTGTGCTGGAGAAATGGGACTTTTGCCTAATCCACAGGAATGGAGAAGGCTGAAGGCACAAGTCTGGCAATGTGCCCAGCTTCTAAGAAGGATTCCTCAAGAGAAAGAGCCTCTTCAGGAGTAGGGAGTCTCCTTGAGAGGAGGCCTTTCCTTCCAAGGAGACCTAGAGAGCAAATCCTGCAACTGTTTTTCTCCCTTTTCTGCCACATATTTGCAGCTGAGTACGCATTGGCGCCCCAGCAGCCCAGCTATAAACAGTCCTCAACTGGATCTATAAGCCATTGGAGAGAAAACATCTATGAGTTTCTTCCTGCCTGGACACCTACCCTGTTTCCTTCAAAAATAAGACCTAACCTGAAAATAAGCCCTAGTATGATTTCGAATCCCTGCGTCTGACTCCTGGATTGTTTGGATTATGCCTTTGGATCTTCCTCATGGATTCTGGCGGTGATTGACCTGGTTTTGGCCTTTGGACTGGTATTGGCCTGTGGCTCTGGATCTTGTTGCCCTGATTGTCTACCTTGGCCTTGCCTTTTCCCTGGTTTGGAGCTTCTCTGGCGGAGAGCCACATCTGCCTTCCCTGTACAGAACAAGGCACAGATCTTGTGTGTATGTGTACAAGGGGGTAATGAATATCCCCTTGTGCAATTAGCAGACACATACACACCTACAAGCAGAATATGCAATTGTGCAGGAGATAAAAACGAGCAGGTTTTGGCCATACTTTAGGATGGAAAAGACACACACACACCCATCGATCCATCTCTGAATGTGCAGAGGACTTGTGCATGCGTGTCTTTTACAGATGCAGAATTGTTTTCTTCACATATGATCAAGATGTGAATGTATATGCCTTGTTCCTGATTATATCCTATAAATTCAACCCCTTCCTCTACTTTTTTCTTTCATTTTCTTCCCCTCACATTTCTTTCTTCTTTAAAATATTTAATTTTACAAAAATATATTTTTCTTTTTTTCCTCTTTTTAGGAAAAAAAGGATTGGTCCCAGACTCAGACCTTCCCTTCTGTTTCCCATATATGTCTATGAGTCATTGTCTGCTGGACACTAGTAGACTGTTAAATTCTGAATCCCAGCTGAACTTGTGGCTTGCTTGCTTTGTAATCACTAGGGATGTGCCATTTGGTGTTGTTGTTTTGGAACTCCAACTCAAAGAATTCTGCAGGAATTCCCCAGGCAGAATTTTGGGAATGCCAGGCCACTGACCCATGCTTACAAACATCTACATTTTGATCACTTGGAGAAGGGCCTATGTCTGAGGCTACGTGGCTTTGCTTCCTGTACAAATAAGGAAGTTGCTCTTAGGCTTTCCGGATATTGTAGCTCTTTGGGAGGTGCCCTCTCTAGCATATAAAGGGCATGAGATTCTGGTACCAAGAAAGCTCTGTAGCAGCTTCCATTGTGAACATTAACAACAGGAAATAAGGTCTGCAACAGCCATGGAGATGCCAGAGAGCCCCTGCCTGCTCCAGGTGAGTGAAATGTTGGTGTGGGTCAGTGGGCTGGAAGTCCCATAATTCTGCCTAGGGAATTCTTGTAAAATTCTGGGAGCTGGAGTAAAAAAAAAAAGGAAGAAAAAAAGAGAAAAAAAATCCGTAGTAATCTCTCATTTCATTTGTGATCCATGATCACTGTTGATAGAATGGATGTGTAATGGTGGAGGCTGGTGGTTCTGATTTTCTTGGGGTGGTAAAACTGCTTCAGGTTTTCAATGAAAGTCTAAAATCGGTATCCAAGGTGCTGAACATATTTTGAAATAGAGAACAGTACCTTGGACAGTTCATTTAAAGTTTGTTAAAGATTAAAATCCAGCACAGATTCATCACCCTTTGAAAATCAGTCACCAGCTTCAACTGGTGCACAATCAATCTGATGCTGGTTTCAGCACAGATTCAGACCACATTGCAGAATAGGTCAGTTATTTGTATTCCAACACTGTCATTCTTTGCTACTATATGTTGCAGTTACACAGATCCAACTGACTGGATAATGGGGAAGATGGGGGAAAAGAGGTGCTAGAGAACACAGATCTAGTTGCAGTCCTGTTACTTTGAGGGATAAGATTAAGGGTAGATAAATTCCTGGTCGTGCTTGAAGATA